GTGTCACCGGCGAGCTGGCAAGGGGCGGCTTCTGGGAGCACCTCAGCCAGCTGACGAGCGACAAGGACAGCCTGGAGCAGGGCCAGAGCAGCAAGCTGGGTGGGGATGTTGCGTGAGTATGCCGCTGCGCGAGCTTGCCTTGCAGTGTCCGGCCTGGGTAACCACCCGCAGTCCCTCCGCAAGCTCCCCCCAGGCCCCACCAACACGTGCCAGCCCCCGTTTCTCTTTCCCCAGGGACAGAAAAGCTGATGGGAACGGCCCTCGCGGCTGCCGACAGCTTTTATCAGGGGTGTGTTAGGGCACAGGGGAGATGCTGCGTAAGTCAGCCAGGGGTGCTTAGTAACTACGTGTGCTGTCTTGTGCAGAAACCCGAAGGAAAGCATTCGGGACGATGTCGGCTACGTGGGAAACTTCCTGGAGAAGCTGTCGCCCCTCAACAGAGGCCTCCGGCCCCGGCTCTACCACGACTCAGACAGCCTGCGGAAACTCATCCGGAAGGAGCTGGAGAGCCTGAGGGCGAAACTCGCCCCGTACGTGGACGAAGTCCACCACAAGGTCGGCAAGCAGCTGGAAGATCTTCGCTACCGGCTGCAGCCGTTCACGGAGCAGCTCCTGGACCAGGTGTCCCTGAAGGCCCGGGAGCTCCGGCGGCACCTTATGCCCAGCCGGGAGGTGATGGCTGAGCTCCTGGAGGGCGCCGACGAGGTCCAGAGGTTCATGGCTCATTACGCCGACAAGATCGCCTTCCACACCGACCAGGCGAAGGGCATCTTCCGCCCCTATGTGGACAGGCTGGTGACCGAGATCCACCGCAACGTGGAGGAGCTGCACAGAAACGTCGTCCCTCATGCCCAGGCCAGCCCGGAGCAGCTCAACCAGTACGTCCAGGAGCTCTCGGCAAAGCTGGCCCAGAACGCGCGGGACCTCCACCGGCAGCTCCAGGGGAATCTGGAGCAGCTCAAGGCGAAGCTGAGCCCCTACCCCGGCAGCCTCCGGCAGCCGCCGGCCCCCACCGACCCCTACGCGGAGGGGCCGGCCC